CCATACAAAATACAGCAAAAATATACTAAACTATAAGGTGGCCGGCTGCAACCCTAGTCGCTTTTTTTATACACCTAACATCGCAATCTTAATGAGGCCTCCCCTGATTTGGTTGGCTACTTAAACCTTACTCTACATGCTTGCAAATGAGTGAATTTAACTACCCGAATCGGAAATGTGTTCGGTGGCAGCTGTTTCATCACACAAAAACTAACGTACGATCGCCTAATGCTGAATCATTTTTGGGCTTGTGCTATTGTCTATTGTGTGTATGTAATGCTCATGTCATGAGTAGTATGATTGTCCTAGCTAAGCACGAGGCTAATCCAGCCTCCTTTTGCTCAGTAGCCCTTCCTGCACCCCCCTCTCCCTTTTCTTGAGTCTACGCAACAGCCACAAAAAGTTCCTCCTTAGTTTTCTACACTCCTTCCTCCCATTCAGGAAGTTGACTCTTGTTAATTTCTATAGACTCCCTAATCTTACGTTTTGGTGTGAAGTCCCCTTAACCCGCATAACGTCGTTGTGTTTTGGACTAGTCTATTGAGTGCCCTGTATTGACCATGTGTTTAGCAAGCTGAAATTTTTGGACGCACATAACTTTACAAGTGGTTTTGTGTTTGCATAGTCTTTTGTGAATTGATCGGCAAGTCTCCCTCACATATAACTTATCACATGAGCACAAAACCTTGTACCATCCTGATCTAGAAAGAGGGTCTGAATATTCTCTAAATGAAGGAACTACTGAAGAAAGTGTTCATTTCTTTTTATACATTGTTTTTATGTTCCATTTCTTCAGTAGTTCACCCAACTTTTTCGCAAGCTGATAGGAAGGTAAAATCAGGATCTGAGTAGAATAGTCCAGTTTGCTATCCCATGTCTGATAACAAACTCCTTTAATCTTGTTAACCGCAAGTGATATATAATTGTCTACTAATGCCAATGGGTAATAGTTTTGAAACAGTATATCCCTCAATCTACCAATCTCCTTGTCCTTATGGTTTGCATCTGCCAGACGCAGACTCCTTATTATCATAGACTTCATAAATCCTGTTTTTACTTTTTATATATGGTTCGAGAATAAATTAATAAGGAAACCGCGTGAGTGGTTTTCCTATATATGTTTCTACCCAACGTATTACCTTCTTTGTTCACTAATACAGTGATTCCCAAACTGTGCGCCGCGGCCTCTTTACAGGGGCGCCGCGGAATATTGTATAAGCTTCAATTTGAGAAAATGTGCAGTGATTTGGAGGCTCATTCATCACATTAATTAGTACATATTACTTTAATGTTAATAAAGTATAAAAAAATAATGAAGATACACGAGTTTTATTTATTTTTATCTCTTACGAATAGTCAAACTTAGGTAAGGGTGCCATGGAAAAATTGTAATTGAAAAAGGGCACCTCGACTAGGAAAAGTTTGGGAACAGCTTCACTAATATACATATAAAAAAGGCGTTTTATTTTCCTCTTCTAACTCCATAGTAAACTTAGTCTATTCTATTTATTAGCTCAAAGAATTACCTTAAACTATTTTGCCGTGTTGCCAAACAGCAAGGTAATCGTCCATATTGCGAACTAATAACTTTGGGACTAGGAATATCTCTTGAAACACGCGAACTTCTAATTTGGCCATCTAGTTATTAGCTAAAATAGGGGCTAAACAAGATCCCATAGCCAAACCCCGTGTCTGCTCATACAACTTAACATTGAAGGTAAAATATGTATTACACATTGCCAAATTGAACCTTTGCTTAACTTTTTATGATTCCGGGGTGTTGATCTAGGGTTAATTCTAACGTCTGCATTGCCTTATTTATCGGAATATTATGTACAAAGACATTACATCGAAACTTACAATCAAGTCTCTTTTTATCGTCTGATTATCGATTAACTTAATAAAGTCGTAGGAGTTCTTTACTGAAAACTTCAAAGTTTAGGAGATTTGCTTTAACTGAGTACAAATAACTCATGATATTTTATGCATCACACTACCTCTATTATTTACAATAATTCTAAGGGGAGTATCTTGCTTATTGATTTTGGGCAGACCATACACACTTGGAATCTAGTATTTCGCTGGAGAAGTGCATTAATTTTCCACTTCTCCAGTTCTCCACTGTTTAAACATAGTTGCAGAAGACCCTTTTTGACAACGGCTCTTCTTACACTTCAATTCATCGTATGTGGGTCGTTTCCTTGAGCTAATTCTTATACCCTAATTTCTTATGATGCGAATCTTATATAAACTATCCTCTATACTCTGGAGTTTCAGGAAGTCTTCCGAACTAGAGTTGCATGCGGCCACCTTATGGTTTAGTATATTTTTGTTCTGTTTTGTAAAGTATGGAATTTTGCTCTTGTGATGTCTGTCACAGTACAGACGAAAGTTTAGCACAGCTTCATCTGAGCCGCAGGACGGTGAGCCGAGGTCTGAGTGGGATAAGCCCATTGAAAGAGAGGGGTCGGGTTAAGTAGCAAGTGTGATAGGCCACATTCGGTTTGCTACAAAAGGGCACACATGCTGATGATTGAAATGTAAACAAGTGAGAAGTTGTGATAGGGCGGCAGTGGGTTTAGAGGGTAAAGATTAGATAGATATACGATGACAGAAAGAC